CCCATGTTTATTGCAGTGCTATTCACAAGAGCCAAGATTTGGAATCAAGGGATGAATGGATAAAGAAATTATGGCACATATATATAATGGAATATTATGTAGCCACAAAAGAATGAAATCTTGCCATATGCAACAACATGGATGGAACTACAGAACAGTATGTTGAGTGAATAAGCCAAGCACAGAAAGACAAATATTGCATGTTCTCATTTCTATGTGGGAGCTAAATATTAAAAACAATTGACCTCATGGAGACAGTGGTCAGACAGAATGATGGTTACGAGAGGCTGGGAAAGGCAGCAGGGACGGTGGGATAAAGTGGGGGTGATTAATGGGTATAAAAACATAGTTACAGTGAACACTATTTGATAACACAACAAAGTGGCTATAACCAACAATAAGTTAGGGTATATTTTAAAATAACTAAAAGAATGAAATTGGAATGTTCAAAACATAAAGAAATGAGATGGGCCAGGTGCGGTGGCTCACGCCTGTAATCCTAGCACTCTGGGAGGCCGAGGCGGGTGGATTACTCCAGGTCAGGAGTTCGAAACCAGCCTAGCAGAGTGAGACCCCGTCTCACTATAAATAGAAAGAAATTAATTGGCCAACTAATATATATAGAAAAAATTAGCCAGGCATGGTGGCACATGCCTGTAGTCCCAGCTACTTGGGAGGCTGAGGCAGCAGGATTGCTTGAGCCTAGGAGTTTGAGGTTGCTGTGAGCTAGGCTGACGCCATGGCACTCACTGTAGCCTGGGCAACAAAGCGTGACTCTGTCTCAAAAAAAAAAGAAATGAGATGGATACCCCAATTACCTTGATTTGATTACTTTACATAGTGTGCCTATATCAAAACATCACATGTACCCTACAAAGATACACAACAACCATGTACCCATAATTTAAAATATAAAAATATTTTATTATAAAAAGTAAAACAATCTATTTCAGAATGTTTCTGATGGCAAATATTAAACTCATCAGAGGTTATTACTGATCGGCCAGGTGTGGTGGCTCACACCTGTAATCCTAGCACTCTGGGAGGCCGAGGCAGGTGGATGGTTTGAGTTCAGGAGTTTGAGCTCAAGATTGCTCAAGGTCAGGAGTTTGAAACCAGCCTGAGCAAGAGTGAGACCCCATCTCTACTAAACATAGAAAGAAATTAATTGGCCAACTAAAAATATATAGGAACAATTATCTGGGCATGGTGGTGCATTCCTATAGTCCCAGCTACTTGGGAGGCTGAGGCAGGAGGATCGTTCAAGGTCAGGAGTTCGAAACCAACCTAAGCAAGAGTGATACCCCCATCTGTACTAAAAATAGAAATAAATTAGCTGGACAACTAAAAATATATATAGAAAAAATTAGCCAGGCATAGTGGTGCATGCCTGTAGTCTCAGCTACTTAGGAGGCTGAGGCAGGAGGATTGCTTGAGCCCAGGAGTTGGAGGTTGCTGTGAGCTAGGTTGATGCCACAGCACTCTAGCCTGGGCAACAGAGTGAGACTCTGTCTCAAACAAACAAACAAACAAACAAACAAGCAAAAAAAAAACAAAAAAGAAGTGATTACTGACCTATGAAGATCATGGTTTGTGATCTTCACCCCGGCCTGGTCTTCTAACCAATATAGTAGCAGATCAGTAAATATTTGTTAAGTGAAAAACTGAACAATTCTCCAGACTTTCACTGCCTTTTGGCATTCTCTATGATACATAACTTCTAAAATGTCCCTAGGATGCCACAGAACCAGGTAATGGTTTGAGGTCAGAGGCCTTGAAGATATTTGGTACAGCTCCTGAATTTGATGGGTGAAGTTTTGTGATTTTTCCCCCCAAAGTTGGGCCAAGAGATTAGAATTTATTAAAGAAAACTGATTCTGTTTTTTTTTTAAATCTATTTTCAGATTTCAGTTCTCTTTTAACTATATAGGCCCAACTCTTCTCAGTCTGAAAATAATTGTCCTTGTTTTAGAATATGAAAGCAAAATAGGGCTTGGGTAGTTGTTTCATCTCAATGAGATTTATCCTCCAAGGGGGTAGTTTTGGGAGGTGAGACACCCAGGACCCAGGTCCTTCTTATCTCTTTCAGGACCAGTTTTGGAACTATTGAAAGAAGTCATTAGAGTCACCATCAGAATAATCACTAAACAAATGAATCAGATTTGACTCTTAAAATCTTGAACTTTTCAAAGTCAAGCCCACCCTGAAAGGATAAAGATTTGCCTCTATTGGGAATATTTACTTAATAATAATGATGGCATTTATGCATAGAAACATGCACCAGCTTAACCAGGCATGGTGGTATATGCCTGTAGTCCCAGCTACTCTGGAGGCTGAGGCAGGAAAATCGTTTGAGCTTGGGAATTCGAAGTTGCAGTGAGCTATGATTTCATCACTGCACTGTAGCCTGGGCAACAGAGTGAGACCCTGTCTCTAACAAAAGGGAAAAAAAAAAAAGAAAAAGAACTAAGCACCAGGTGCTTTCTATGCATTATATTACATCACGGCAGCCCATTGGTATTATACTTACTCCCAGTAAATAGATCAGACTTGAGAGCATGGGTAACTTGTCCCTGTAACACCGAAATTTGAACTCTAATCTGTTAGACACCCAAAAGCAGGCTTTTAGCCACTGCAGTGTTACCTGCTGTATGCAAGGTACTGTGCTGGATGGCAATTGTGGGGAATTCCAGAACTGGGTAACAAGCTCTTAAATAGCGTACATAGCTTAGTACATGATATATGACAAGTATTACACATGAGAGAAAATGTAAGTGTCTGAGAAGACATGTACTGTGTTATCTAAAGATGTGCACTATAAATTCTGAAGGCAACAGGAATAGATGTTTTAAAGAAAGTTTAAATTAAACTCAGGACGGGTTGTATAGTAGAAAGAGCAAGAAATTTGAAATCAGCAGACAGTGGGTGAGTGAGTGAAAAAAAGAAAAGAATTTGAAATCAGAAGACATGGATTCTGCTTCCCAGTTACCACTTACTAATGAGCGACCTTGGGTAAGTCTCAGTTTCTTGAACTTAAAATGAAGATAATAATAACAACATCTGTCACCCCCCATTGGATTATCATGAGAATCAAATGAGTGAGTATGCATTAAAATATGAAAGCTTTGGGTATAGTGCAATTTTATACAATATGGTATTAATATAATTACATCATCAGAGTAGTCTGCTGCTCAACATGAAACAGTACATATATATCAGACAATTTCTGTAGGGTTGTTTAATCTCACTATATTATCTTACTTCATATTAATGCAATGCTATATTCTTCGCCAACACAACTCAAGATCAAAGCCGTAAGAATTGAAATGTTAAAGACAAGTAAGTGTCAGTTTAAAAAAAAATGTCCCTTGCCTTTTAGCATTTCTCCCCTCCCCCAGCCTTTATTCTTCTGATTTATTCAAGAAAGCCCCGTAAAAGCATCTTATTAGCAGTTCTTACCCAGGAAATATGAGCACTTAGGGTCTATTGACAGGGAACTGGGAGAAGGGGAAGTCAAGAGGTAGAAGAATGTCATTACAATTAAAAAAAAAAATAAAAAGCTAGTTTAACTGCAAACAAGAATATCATTTTGTGTAAATTTTTATTATCAGATATTGAAAACTTCCTTACAAATGTTTCGTTTTATTACCTCGAAATGTTTTCCTTTTCCATGCACCTTCATTTTGATGCTTAGAAATAGTTCAGATTCATCTAAGTTACAAGCAAGATTTTAGAAGCAATATAGCTAAGGGTATTACTGTTTTACATGCAGTTAAGTTGAAATTCCTAAATAGACTGATCCTTATTGTAATGAGCTTTGGGGAAGGTAGTGCTGTCCTAGTGTTCTAAACTGTTGCTGCTTTTGCCCTTCTTCAATCGGAGGATCTCCAGAACATGCTAAAGGCAGTTAGTGCGTTGATGACTTCGTGACAAAAGCTAGATTTCTCTCAGCAGCTTTCATAAGGCTAGCTTTTAGCCTGTGCCCTCGTCATGTGCCACAGATTTAGTTTTGGATTAGCAAATGTTAATCCACATGCAAAGGCTATGATCCACACTTGTCTAGCAAGCTGATTACATTCTTTAAATGTGTTTCAACACCTCTTATTAGCCTTAATTTTTAGGAGATGTGAACAAACTCACCACCTTTGTGTCTTTCCTAGCCTAAGTCATAACCAGGTAACGTAGCAAAAAGTCTGGACTCCCACAGCAAGCTCGGGGAATCTTGGGGATCCCTTGATCTCGCCACTCCTCTCAAGACAGGGCCTTTTGTGTGCACAGTTCTCACACAATTAAAGAACTTGAGTTACTTGAAGAAGAGATAATAAAAGGTCTCTCCCAAAGGTAACTGTTCATTTCAGGGCACTCTTCTGGGTTGTTTTTAGCCAGTGCTGCATCTGAGGGGGGCAGGGAGGATAAGAACGGTGCCCAAATGTGGGGCTTATCACCCGGAGATGCCTCCAGTCGGGCTGACAAATCTCTGAAGTGGGAAATAGATTTCCCTCCACAGGGCCTCGGCGTGTGAGGGCGGGTGGGGGTGGGCAGGGGGCCATCCAGGGAGAAGTCTCCGGCCTTTCCCCGTCTCTCAACACCATCCCTCCCCCTCCCCGCCACCTCCTCTCCCGGTCCCAAACTAGCCGGCGGGAGAGGGGCCTAGGGGGCTGGCTGGGCCGGGAGGCTCGGCCTTTGTGGCTCTGTCCGGGACGGTGGCGCGGAGGCAGAGGGGGCGGAGACCCTCAGCCAGGGCTTGACCCCCAGGTGCATTGTCCGGCGGGGCCCGTCCCCTCCCCTCCCCTCCCCCCGGGGCCACGACCCGGCCGCCACTGGGCCCCCCTCCCAGCGTCTCCCTCCGCCAGCCGCGCCGACCTCCCGGTCCCCAGACCAGGGGCCAGATGTAGAAAGTAGTCCCAGGCCGGCGGCCGCGGCGCTGTCCACTCCGCCACCCCCGCCCTCTCCAGCCGCCGCCTCACTCCGCCCCCAGCCGGACTCTGAAGCCCCCAGCCTCGCGCGAGCGGGTGTCCGAGCGCCGGCCTCGCCGCCGCCAGAGCCCAGCCGCCGGCCGCGCCGCGCCGCCCCGCGCCGGTGCCGGAGCGGGAAGCCCAGGCTGCGCGCGTCCAGCCGCCGCACGGGGAGCGCCGGGGGGGACGGGGGCCGGCAGGCGGACAGCGGCTGAGGGGCGGCCGGGGAGCATGCCCGCTCAGCGCCGCTGAATGGCGCCTTCTCTGCGACCCCTCGCCCGCTGGCGGCCGCCAGGGATGCTGCTCGGCGCGCTCCTGCTCCTGCTGCTCCTCGGCCGGGTTCCAGGTGGGCGCGCTTTCTTCTGCGTTCCTCCTGCGGCTGCGGGGCGGGCGCGGGTGGGGTGGGGAGAGATGAAACGGTGTGGGGGGGGGCAGGGAGGGAGGCGGCGGGGTGCTGCGTGGTGGCGCTGACCGCTTGGTCCCTGTCCTCTCCCTGCGGCCGGTGCGGAGCCGCCCGCTGGCTGGAGGCACGAGTTGCCCGCAGGCTCTGCGGGGCGCGAGCCGGGCCGCGCACGCCCCTCCCCGCCGCGCGCCTCGGGCTGCCAGGTTCTGGCGGCCGCTGTCCACTCTCATCCCTCCCTTCTCGCGCCATTGTCCCGGCTCCGGCCGCGTCCCCGCCTCCGCGTCCCGCCGGGTTCCGCGCAGCCCGCCCGCCCGCCGGGGCCGCTGCGGCCGCACGTGGCTTTATTTATATTGTTTCCTTAGTGGCCGCCTCGCCGCGCAGGGGGCGCCGCGGTTCCGCGCGGCTTCCCGTGCTTGCAGTGGGGGTTCCCCCGCTTTTTAGGGCTGCGGGAGGGGCTGGGTGAACGCGTAGCCCGGGTCAGCCCCACTCGCGCCCCCAGTTCCCCGGGTCCAGATCGAGCGGGGAGGAGGCGGGAGGGTGCAACTGGGAAGAGAAATGGGTTGGAAGTGGCGTGGCCAATTGGTGCCCCAGAGGCGGAGGAAGAAGAAAAGTGCCCAAAGCTGGGAAGGAAGGTGTCTAAATAGGATTTATTTCCTGCGGCTAGGTATTTTGGGGCCGGGCTTGAGGTGTGTGGGGACCTGAAGTTTCCTCCAAACTCCAGATTAGCCTTGCACAAACTTGGATGAAGCTCATTCTCTCTCTTTTTTTTTTTATTTCTCCCTTGCATCCGTATTGATTTCTTCAGATGAAAGTGCAAACTGAATTGGGTTGGGGGGGGGTGCTGGTAGGAGAAGTGACTGGGAGAGTGGGTTATTTTATTTGCTTACAGGTTACAAACGCCTGACTTTCGTTTTTTTTTTTTTTTTTTTTTCCTGGAGGGGTTAGTTCTGTTAGCATGAGAAAAGGATCAAAGTCAGATGTGGCTCAGAAACACAATGGGCGCCTTCCGGAGCGTTCCGCGCGGCGCGGGGCTGTTAGGGTGGCTCGCGTCGCCCTGGGCATATATTAGGGGACGCCGAGAGCCCGGAAGCGTGAGGATTCCTAGGACCTGCCTTGATGAGAAACAGAGAAATTATCTCTAGGGATTTGTAATCATGGATTCGAAACGACCAGAAGATGAAACGCTCCCTCCCGCCCCCCCTCGTCCCCTATTCTCCACTCGGCCCCAATCATTACGCAAGACTTTAGCCAGCCTTTGCGCTAAATGCAGGAGGTGACCGAGTCGGATGCTTTATCCTTGCGGGGCCAGAGGCAACGTGTATGCTTAGGATAAAGCCTTTCCTCTGCTCTGATAAAAATGTGTATTGGTTGATTAAGCAATCTCCTATCCCTATTAGACAGTAAGGACCAATTAGTCACGCATTTTTTTTCCCCCAACAATTGGTAATTCTAAAAGAGCGAAACAAAAGTTTCCTAATCCGATCACCCACTGAGTACAAGCAGCAAGAGTTACCAACTTTTCAAAGTCTATTGTTTGTCCTTTAAATACCTAGCTTGCTCTGCAGAAATTAAGTAAATGGATTTCTTTCAAGGAGAGGAGACTGAGTTTCTGCTGTAAAAGGGCAGATAGAAAAATGCAAACTTTGTTATTCGTCACAAAAGACAAATGCACTTCCCAAAGGAGTAGGTGCCAAGGGTTCCAAAAACACTTCAAGGGACAAGGAAATAAACTTGCTTGTTCACAGAGTTGGAGTTTGGCTAATGATTTCTTGTAAAATTAGACTTTTACGACTTACTCTGTTCAAGATCTTTTTGACAAGCTTGTAAAAGTAGCAGACAGCTTGTGCTCATGAGTTTTCCTGATGATTTTGAAACTTTAGTAAGGAACTTCAGAACAATTCTTACAAGGTATAGAAGTTATTGAAATCTTCCCTGTTCTTTTAGTGTAAGTGTCATAAAAGGCGATTTCTCTGACTTGTTGAAAAGGTTTGCTGAAATTTAGATTGGTTTATTAAGGTGTTTGTAAGTTAAGTAATATGATTTGTTAAATTTTGCTTTATTATACCCTGAATGTGTGTTTTAAATGGTTTTAAGAAATTATTTTGTGCCTGTAATTCTGGATATGCCTTTCTCCTTTTTCCTTATAGGAGTGTGGTGCTTTAGCGAACTGTTTTTTATAAAAGAACCACAGGATGTAACTGTCACAAGAAAGGACCCAGTCGTTTTAGATTGCCAGGCTCACGGAGAAGTTCCTATTAAGGTCACATGGTTGAAAAATGGAGCAAAAGTATCTGAAAATAAACGGATCCAGGTTCTTTTTAACGGCTCTTTATACATCAGTGAGATGGAAGGCAGGCGAGGAGAGCAATCTGATGAAGGATTTTATCAGTGCTTGGCAGTGAACAAATATGGAGCCATTCTTAGTCAAAAAGCTCATCTTACCTTATCAAGTAAGTGTTTAAGTTCTTGGTTGTTGACATTTTTCATTGCTACATTTTGATGACTTCTTGATTTAATAATATAATAACTCTAAAAATCGTACAAACATTGAGAATTTTACTGGAGATAATAGTTGATGCTAACTAAAGCATGCAGGGAAGTCTGAGAAAAATACATATATAAATTCAAATGAGTGATTGAGAACAGAAGTCAAATTAGGTTTAGAATACCAAGTAAAATAAAACCCGTAGAGGTGGCTTTATGTAAATTCCAAGTGTTTCACACTATAAGAATTGGATGTAGAGGTTTTGCCAACACAGCAAAGGTTATTCTAAAATCTTATCTTTTGGATATTAGTAATTAAGCGAAAACAATCACAAGCAAATCCTTCCACTTTGTAGATGGGCCCATGAGTGCTAAATCTTTCTTATAGTCCAACTTCCATTTCTCTGACTGCTTTTAGATCACCCATGTTGCCTTTAATTGTAAGAGAGGGCATTGGTCAGTAACTTTCAAGCCTTTGAAGTATTCCTAGTCTTTTCCTGCTGGGAGGGAAAAAGATTAAGGTCATTTCCATATCATGCCTAATGGGTTTAAATCAGATCTGCTCATTTTCCCCCCAGTTATCATAAAGTTTGCTATCTAATGATTTCTTTTGTATTAACAACCCCATCAGATCAACTGTTTGTCCAGGTGATCCATTGCTTGGTGGTTGACCTGATAATTTTTGAATGTAAAGATAGGCTTAGGACAGGCTGGGAACTTTTTGTTCCCACTGAGGCTTTCCACCTCTTCAGGTGGTCAAACGGGCAGCACTCAAGATTACAATAGACTATTTAAATCATGAAAAACAAAACTGTATCTTAAAATTAGTTTTACAGGCATTCTAGCCACTTGCTTTTGTTAATCCAGGAAAGATAGATTTTGCGCTGTATTTCCAAATTGATCATTTACAAAGTGAACAATAGAAAGGAGGAGTTCTTGAGATAAAGGCTTAATCTTTAGGAAATAGCTTCCTCAAGGTGTACACAATTGAAATTTGGGAAGCTATTGGCAGGAATTTCCTAGGTGATTTTAACTATTGTTAACAGTTGATTGCCATATTTATGCCACCCTTGTATTAGTAATTTAGTTCATTACTCTATAATAATGATTAATTGTAGAAAATAAATTGCAAGTAAAGATATTTTTGTATTGAAATGTCAGAAAATTAGAAGTTTCCAGTTCTAACCCTACTCCCACCCCTGACAAAGACCAGAATAAACCTGAGAGGATTTCTAATAAACTTTTTTTTTTTTTGCTGCTATAATCATTGGCTAATAATCATCGTTTTCATTGAGTAACAGTTTTCTATACAGAACTGTTTTCAAAATAGTGTGCTTTTATGCTTATGTCCTGTTCATTTAACTTTTGTCTAATGTCAAATTGTTCTATGGAGTTGTAGTTTTTCCACCTTTTCAGGTTTGTAGAATCTGTGTTTTTGTTTTCATACCTAGGAGCTGTAACTTGTATTATTTCTCAGGGGTGGAGTAGGGAGTAGAGGGGGTTGGATAGGCTGTGAAAAGATGAAGCATTTGTTATGACCACACGTTGTCTCCAGGACCTCCTGAGAAGCCTGACAGAATTCTAGGGCTCCCAGAAATGCTTTGAAAACATCCAGAGCTTTCTAACTCCATAAATAAAATCTGAACGGTGTGATAGGTGTAACAAACAAATGTTAGTACTGGCTTTTTAAATATCTTTAGATTTTTGTATATTTATAAATATTATCCTTAATATTTAATTACACTTGAATCATTTTGAAGACTACTGTGGTGAAGTGGTCTTCATATTTTTTTTAAGTAGCAAAACTTTCTAGTGGAACTATGTAGAACATTGCTTTGCTATTAAATACCAACTGTAATCAGTTTGGGACCACATCCTTGATATGTACACATTTTATTTAACTCTGAAGAGGTATTTTGCTAGAAAAATCTGTTCACTATTATGGGTATAAAAGAAGAAATACATAGTGGGTTTAGATTTTTCTTGAGAAATATGGAAATCTCTTAGAGATTATGAAACTTTCTTAGAGATTTTAAATTACATAATTAGTTATGATATCTAAGAAACAATCTCCCATGATGAAGGTTCATATCACTTTATCCTGTGTTCAGGGTAAAGATGTTATACATATTAAACAGGAAGAGAATAGGCATTAAGTGGACATTCTGGTGTTTTTTTTTTTTCTCTGCAGCTAGTTCTCTTCTATTTATAACAGCAGGGTGCAAGTATGTTCTTTTTCTTAGTCAAAGATTTTGTCAGCAAGCATATCTTTTGGTTCAGAAGTGTAATAATACAGCACCTGGAAATCTAAAACTTTAACGTGTGCAAGTTTTAGATTTTTAACACACAGGCAATCAAGTCTTGGTTTCTAAACATAGGAACTAGAAGCTGAAAGTTGCACTCTAGGCAAGAATTCCATTATTCATGTGTAAATTAGGAATTCACAGGGTTAAAAGGTTAGAAACTGGCCAGGATGAGGTTTACCCTTGTGATAAAGAGCAGATGACCCTCATTCATTGGCCAAAGCTTTCATGTAGCTCTTCTGCAAAGTTAGTTATTGCCATGAATTGTTCTTGAGGAATGCAGAAATTCAAATGTGAACAGGCCTTTCCTTAAGTGTCACTATGGAGTCTTATCTCCCAAGCACATCAGAGCAGGGCTGCAGGGACAAGGTTCCTCCCCAGAGGCCTGGAGGCCTCGCTTTCCTGTTGTTCATCCAAGCACAAAAAAATTCATCTAACTTAGTTTTGCTGAGGCATCCCATTTTTAAAAGAAAGTATAGGGTTAAAGTAATATTTAGCTTTAAGAAAAGGTAATCCTTTTTATTGATAGCCATTTTAGGTGCTTCACAATTTCATGTCATTAGAATAGAAAGGGGAGTGACGTGGGAGTTTCCCCGTTGGTATACAAGAGAAGATTAAATTGTTCCCTATACATTTCAATATTTTTAAATTTTGGCGAATCAAATTTTCACTTTCATGGGCACTAAATCTTTGCTATGCAAACAATTTAATAAGATTTTAGGGATAAGAAATAATCTGTGGATGTCTTGACACCTCTTGCATTCTTAATGTTGAAATAAGTAAGATAAATTTCATAGGAAAGCATTAGTGTGGTAAAACGGTCTCATATTTCAACAAGTTTAAATTAAGATAAGAGACATTTGAGAGAAGTGAAGGAGGAGGCGGGTTGTGTTCTGTGATGTGTAAAAGACTGGCTGTAAGCTAGTCATTGAACAGGAAGCTAGTTGTTTATTTCCTTTCCATAAAAGGTGGAAATTGAAGTCTTAGGAGAGAGGGAAAAAGAACATAAAGCTGGCCTATATTTCTTAGGTTTTTCAGGACTGTTCACTGTGAAAAATAATTTCTTATGTGAGCATTTGTAGCTGGAAGAGCATAGGAATTATTGTAACTTTAGGATTTCCCCTCCCAACATTTGAGGTTATTTTTGACATCAGTAAAGTTGTTTAGAGGTGCATTTCTGTAACTTTAAGTAGCAATAGTCATTTCCTTTACAAGGATGTAGGTTTTTCATAAATAAAATGTTTATCACTTCAGTTTAAATTAAGATTAAGTTTTAGGGCTTTTTGTAGGGTTAATGAAAACTGTTCTGTGGGTGTGGTTTGTATCTTAAAAGAGTAATGTATAAATTATAATCCAAAATTGGTCTTGAAATGTGAAGTTAAAATATATTAAAAACAAAGAGTGATTTTTTTTTTAAAAGGAGGGAGTGGTATGTTGAAAAGAACAATAAGAACTATGAAACTATAGCCTAGATTTTGGATTTTATTAATGATCCTGGACCCAAAATAGGCAAGATTTTGCTATATTGTTTTATTGAGAGTTGTAGATGCCGTAAAGGATAGAGTCTCTTACCTGTGTGCATGTTGATTTGAGTTAGCAGTTACCTGTCCTAATTCAAGAGGGCCAACACATGAGTAAAAGTAATTTGATCTTGGAAAAAATAAGACCGACAGAACTGAGGTATTTAGAGAGATCAATCTGCCAGCACTGTAGATAAGGCTCAATTGATGCTTTCTGGGATCCGAGAAAAATCATCTTTAAAAAGAGGAGGTGTGGTTCAAAAGTATATATTTTGCTTAGAATAGATCATCTTAAAGTTGCATAAGTGCAGTCAAGGAAGTAAAAGTTTCATATATAATTCTACAGGCTTATTTACAATGATAGTTGGTCCTTAAAGTCTGTCTATTTAAAGTCTATTTATCAGGTGCCTGATAATCTCTGGGCAATGGAACCAGTTTTTCTCACTTTGCACTTGAGTAGTGAGGATCGTTTCTCATTTTCAGAAACCTGTAACATTATCTTACTCTTTTAAAAAGTTTTTGGACTTTTGTTTTTTAGCAAAGTACAGTCCAGGGAGTGGTAGACTTATATAATTTCCTTTGAGATGTATATATTTAATAAATGTGTGTATTTATTTTATTTCTGTCCAGCTTCTTAATGGAATTTTGAAAGGTTATTAGGTATGACCCCTTTTTGTCAACTATCTCTGATTATTCCAAAGAAAGGGTTTCACTCACAGCAGTTGTTTGCCCAGGGATTTGTTGTCTTTGCTCCAAATTTAACAGCTGGGCCTCTTGACGAAGTCCAGAGTAATTTAAAAGAATAGCAAAAACCAAATCTTTTAAGCAGGGCTTTAGGTTAAAGGAATATTTCAGTTAATAAGTAAAATGCATTTGGGGTTACCTTTTTGAAAACCATGAAATTCTTGACAAAACTACAGTTTTGAGAGATGATTTTTAGCTCTCATGAACAAGGTTGCTTAATTGGGATTGATTACTTAAAGCTTTTAAACTGATCATTACCATTTATGTGAAAAATAATAATGTTTTAGGCATTTTGTTGAGGATCCTTCTTGAATTTAAAAAATGGCTATTATTATTGAGATTTTTTTAAAAAATCATAAAAATTGCCTTCCAAATTCAGTTTTCATTGTCAGTCAAGAC